AGAAAATCAGTAAGAATATAGAAGACATGAACAACACTATCAACCAACTAGACTTAATTAGACATTTATGGACATTTATAGAACTCCTCTCCCTCAACCATAACAATAGAATGCACTTTCTTTCCAATTGCCTATGAGAAATTCACCAAAATAGATTACATTCTAGGGCACAAAATAGACCTCAAAACATTTAAAGGGACAGAACTAGAAACAGAACTATAATCAAATTAAACTAAAATCCCCAATAACAGAAAGATTTCTGGAAAACAAATAATTGAAAAATAAACAATATGTTTCTAAATAATCCATGGGCCAAAGAGGAAATCTCAAGAGAAGGGGAAAATATTTTGAACTGAATTAAAATTAAAATATATCAAATTTTGTGGGATGTAGAAAAAGCATCACATAGAGGTAAATTTATAGCATTAAATATCTGTATTAGAAAAAAAGAAAGATCTCTAAACTGTAATCTAAGCTTCCACCATAAGAAACTAGAGAAACAAGATAAAACCCAAAGAAAGTAGAGGGAAAGAAATTATAGATAAGAGCAGAAATCAATGAAATTGAAAACACAAAAATAGAGAAAATCAATAAAACCAAAGTTGGTTCTTTGAAAACATCAATAAAATTGATAAACTTCTAGCCAAACTAATTAAGAAAAAAAGAGAGAAGTCACAAATTACCAATAGCAGGAATGAAAATGGAGACATTCCTACTGATCCTATGTAATAAAATGGTAATAGATACATACTATTAACAACTCTATATCCATCAATTCAACAACTTAGATAAAAGGGAATTACTCCTTGAAAGATACAAAGTACAAAAACTTACTCAAATAGAAATAGAACACCTGAATAGTCCTATATCTATTAATGAAATTCATTCTGTAAGTTAAAACCTTCCAAAAGAGAAAATGACAGGCCCAATGATTTCCCTGGCAAATTTTATCAAACATCTAAGGAAAAGGTAATAAGAACTGTACACAGTATCTTCTAGAAAACTAGAAGAGGAGATAATACTTCCCAATTCATTTTATGAGCCAACATGACTCTAGTTTTTTCTTTCAGTACTTTAAAGATGTCACAACACTGTCTTTGATTTGCATGATTTCTGACAAAAAGTCTGCTATAATTCCTATTTTTGTTTCTCTGTACGTAATTTCCTTCAAGAAAAGGCTGCCTTCAAGATTTTCTCTTTGGCTTATTTTCAGTAGTTTAAACATAATATGGAGGGGTATATTCTTTTTGATATTTACCCCATTTAGTGTTCTGTGACCTTCCTGGATCTGTGGTTTGGCATCTGTCATCAATCTGAGAAAATTCTCAACCATTATTTGTTTTCATTTTTTAGGCATTATTTCTTTACATATTCCTTCTGCTCCACCTTTCTCTCTTCTTTTAGGGATTCCAATTATCTCTATGCTATGGCATTTGATATCATGCCATGACTTTTGAGTACTGTTTGTTTTGTATGTGTTTCTTCTTTCTTCTTTTGTGTTTCAGTTGGGGTAAATTCTACTGATCTAACTTCAAGTTCACTGATTCTTTCCCTGGCTGCCTCAAGTCTACTGAGGTGTCTGTCAAAGGTATTTCTCAACTCCATTACTGTTTTGTTTTTTTTTTCCTAACACTTCCATTGAGTTTTTTCTCATAGTTTCCATCTCTCTACTAAAACAGTTACCCAAAGTTACCCATAAAATCTTGCATGTTGTTTATACTTTCTATTAGGACCTTTAACATATTAATCTTAGTTATTTAAAATTCTCTGTCAAATATTCTAACACCTTTGTCAGATCTGATTATCATGACTGCTTCGTTTCTAAGGAGTGTGGTTTTTCTTTTTGTATGTCTTGTAAATTTTGCTAAAAATTGTACATATTATATAGACCGAGATTTCTAAGCATAAATGGATATATCTTTCTTCCTACTAAGACTTTAATGCTCCTTCTAGCTGATTATATGCCTGAGTGGAAAAAGAAGACCTTCCCTGAGATTCTGAAAGACTTTGCCAAAAAGCTGGCTATACCATTAATATATTCTTCTCTCTTTTCTCTGCTCTTTCCATGAAGACAGACAATCCCAAATAGAATTTCTGATTAAGCAGGAGATAATTAATATATCCCCACAGATCTATCCCAGCCGAAAGCGAGTAACATGATACTCTGGACCATATGGGCAACATACTGGGAAAGAGGTGGGGAAATATAAGATTATTTGGGATTCTGTGAAATATTTGAATTATTCTCAATATCCCTTGAGTGGTAGGTTGATTCTGTTAAGGACATCATCTCTACCCTTCCCTCTGCACATAGTTCCGTATGCTGTCCTGCCGTAGGCATACTAACTTGCTTAAACGATCTGATTGGTTTTCAACCCATGCCTTTAGCCACTGCCATGCGAACATGTCCAGGCTTGCTATAGACACATGTGGCTCAGTTGTCCTGGCCACGTCGGCCACCATCCAGGTGAGTGATCCCTGCAGACCAGAGAACTGCCCACATAAGTCCAGATTAAACTGCTGACCCACAAACATACAAGCAGCTAAGTAATGTTTTTGTCTGAAATGACTGAGTTTTAGGGTAGGAACAGAAAGCTAATATATCTAGCAGGCCTTCTGGCCTCCAGAGATCTGGGAAGTATTGGTGCACACTCTAACGACATCTATGCCGTGTCTCCTGGAGCTCATATCACACTGATTCATGGCCCTGCTAGATGCCATGCCCTGTGGATATTCCACCATTACAGCGAGTTATTTTAAGCAAAGTACAAAAACCAGATACAGAAGGCTCATATTTTGAATACTAATTTCTAATTTTTACTAAGGTAATCTTTGAAAAAGCACTTCATCTCTCTATTTTGCTGCTGGGATAGAAAACCCACTTCTGTGTCCTTTGATTTAAGGTTGTGGTTTCTATGAGCCCTGGACTGGGCTGGCTGCAACAGACGCTCTGGCAGGAAAAACATTCCCCAGACTCTCTCCTGAGAGTCTCATTCAGGTATGCTGGGATGGAGCCCAGAAATCTGCATTTTTAGACAGCTCCCCAAGATCATAACATACTATTAACATTATGTTACAAATGTCAGGTGATCGTTGAAATGGATGATTTCCCCAGTTTACTGCTTCCTGAATGCATCTTTTGATACAATCTCCTTTCATCAGAATATACTTAAATATAATGTATGATCAATACATCAAAATAATAGTTAATACTTAATATAATAAATAATAGTTAATGTAATTTATAACTTGGAAATGTCTGCTTATTTCCAACAAAAATTAAAGGAAGCTAATATATAACACATCCAATAAGACCATCAGAAAATAAACAAAATTTTAGACAACAAAGAAACACTGTATCAAAGCCTCAAAACAGTACACTTCATGAGTAGTTGAGTTTCCTAGTAGCAAAGGTAAAGAAAGAAATACAATAATTATAAAAATTCTTACTATCTGATAAAATATATCGAAGTATCAGTAGAGACTTTTTTCCCCACAGCCAAATTATAAAAGGAACTTAATCGTATAAGACTTTTACACAAATTATTTTGAAGATAAAAAAATGGAAAATAAGTGAATGTATATGGAGAAAGAATCTTTTTGGAGCTACACTGTAAAAGGAATCTAATTATATAGGTCCTATTGCATAAGGGATCTTGAATAACAAAAAGAGTTGTGTAACCAACAGTAGCTGGGCAGAAAATGATTATTTCTCACACAGTACATGTACATCCCGAGAGCATAAGTCTCTGGAGGTGATTCTTTGGTGGGCAAAGGTCCATGGATGAGGGAGGCTTTCTGTGTTCAGACTTTTCTCACAGAAGGAAGCTTATGACATCTAAGAACTATGAAGAGTAGGGTTATGCCTGGACATAGAGTCCCCTCAGAGGAGGAAAGGGCTATGCTGCACTAGTAGGGAGCCAGTTGGTGGAGGAGGCAGTTTACACTCACGACTAGGAACCCGCACTCTGGGCTCACACCAGAAATCAACCAAGGCGAAGAGGTTCAGGAGGCAGAGGCAGAGTCTGAAGGCACTAAAAAACTTCTCATTCCAGGAAGGCATCTATGTTTTCTTGTCTACTGCATAATCTGTAGACGCTAACAACGTGGTGACTGTTCTCTGGCTGCATTAATGGAAGCACAATGCCCAGAAGCAGGGAGACAAGGTCCCGGCTCTGTCCTGCTCACGTCCTTCCTTCAGCTCCTCCCTGTAGCCTCTGGAGTGCTACACAAGTTGTTCCCTCACCCCAGAACAGTCGCACCGATACCCCTGGCCCACCCATACTCCTTTCACCTGGCTCCAGCCCCATCCTTCAGATCCCCATCCAGATGGCCCTGATGCCATCAAACCTGGGTAGGGCCCCCACCTGTGCCTCTACAGCATCCTTGCTGCTCCACAACAACCCCTGTCACACTGAGCTGTGACTGCCTGTGTCCTTAGAGTGGTCGCCAAATTTCCCAGTTCACAGTTGGGTCCTCACTGTTAGCTGTGCCAGGCACAGAGCAGATGCTCCCAGGATGTACACAATGGATGAATAAGGTTGAAGGACAACAAAGACCACTAAGAACACTATCAATAGGAACAGCCAACACGGACCTGGGCTTACCCTGTGCCAGGCCCTGTTCTAAATGCTGAGGTGTGGGGCTGAGAGCTGAACCCAGGCAGGTTGCTCCTCAACTCATGCTCTTAAACCATTCATCCTCATCAAGGAACAAAAGTGTGCCATGTGCTGGGTGACCGGTGGGGCTGCAGGAAGTGGGTGTGTACCCTGCCACTGTGCAGCAGCCCAGTGCCCCTCAAACCTGGAGATGTGAGGGGAGGTAAATGCCTGGTGCGGGGGACCAATTCAGCCCTTCTCATGAAGCCCAGGAGTGGCTGGCTGGAAGGGACCTGTCTTTAGTCCTGTCCCACGACTAAGGCACTGCCCATGCTCCCCGGCAAGTGGGCCACGTTAGGACAGAATCTGAGTGTAACAGGAGGAGACACACAGAACAAGCACCTTGCCAACGGGAACGCTGCCACCTGCAGGGGAGGCTGGAAGCTCAGATGGGCTGGACCCCGGTGCTGGCCCCACAGGGCTTGACCGATGGCTGGGTTTCTGCTCCGATAATCCGGCTGCTTTTTTCCTCTGGGCAGCGATTTGGGACAAGACATTGTCTATGCTGCCACCTGAGGAAACAAAAAAGGAGTGAACACCGTGGGCACAGAGGGCTTACTCCAACACAAGGGTGTTGGACTGTCGTATGATGACTGGGTTGGAGTCAGTCTCCCAGACTCCCTTCCCCATGTGGCTCCAGGACAGGGCTGACAACAGGAGAACTCTGCAGGAGAACCGGGAGGTGGAAGTTTAGGCAGCAGGCTCTGTGCTGCAAAGGCGTGATGATAAGAGGTGGGAAGCAGCGGCACAGGCAAAACCCAGTCCATCCTCGCTTTCCCCCTGCCATGGCCAGCTCGTGCCAGCCCCTACCAGGCACAGATGCAACACCCTGCACCCGATACCCATAGCAGTCCCTCTGCAGTGCCAGCCAGAAGCTGCACAGACCATCTTGTCCAGCTGCACCAGGGTTTCAGGAGGGCTAGTGAGCAATTGGTCCCTCACCCTTTCACTCTCCCTTTATGTGGCCACCTACTCCCAAGACTGAGTCAATACATTCCCAATTCCATAATGCTCAGAGTGGTCTGCTTCCTGACTGAACCCTGACTGCCATCTCCCTCACCCTGCTTCCCCAAATCCACAGGTAACCTCGAACTATTATAAAAGAAAGGTGCCGGGTGTGGTGGCTCATGCCTGTAATCCCAGCACTTTGGGAGGCTGAGGCGGGCGGATCACAAGGTCAAGAGATCGAGACCAGCCTGACCAACATGGTGAAACCCCGTCTCTACTAAAAATACAAAAAATTAGCCGGGTGTGGTGACGGGCGCCTGTAGTCCCAGCTACTCGGGAGGCTGAGGGAGGAGAACCGCTTGAACCAAGGAGGTGGAGGCTGCAGTGAGCAAAGATTGCATTACTGCACTCCAGCCTGGCAACAGAGTGAGACTCTATCTCAAACAAAACAAAAAACAAACAAACAAAGGAAGAAAGTGATAATACTCAGGGCTGGGAGGTACTCAAGGGGGGACGCTAATGACTAACATTTATAGAGGATTTACTATGTGCCAAGCCCTGCTGTAAATATTTCACATGTTTAAAGAGAGCCATTCTGGAGGGCAAAACATCAAAAGCCTCAAAAATAGGCATACTCACAAACTCAGTCACCCTGATTCCAGCAAATCTAAGTAACAGAAATCACTGAACATATAGGTGAATATGGAGGCATGAAGGTATTACGAAGGGAGGTATCACCTACAAAAAGCAAAAATCTAGGAACAGCCTCAGTGTTCAACACAGGGAATTGGTTAAATGAACTGTGATGCCTCATATAAATGGAACAGTGTTTGATTATTAAACAAGGTGCTGTAGATATATATGCATCAGCGTAAAAAGGTGCTCACAATCTAGCAATATGAGGAAAAAGAAAAAAGCAAGTTACAGAGCAGTTTATAGTTTAGAAAGGCACGTGGTTCCAAGAACAGGCTCTGAAGTCAGGCTGCCTGGGTTTGGATCCTGGCTCTGCCTACTAATAGCTATGTGACCCCGGACGAGTTATCTAACTGTCCTTAGCCCCAATCCCTCATCTGTAAAACAGAGGTGGTAACTTCATTGGCTGCTGGGGCACTGAAGGAGATTATTCATTCAAAGGGCTTGGCATGCAACTTGACAAATATTAAGTGCTCCATAAATTATTGTGTCTTTTTATAAATATTCATAATCTAGACAAAAACACTTTCCAGATATATATACATACATATACGAAAATGATAATGATGATCTGTAGTGGGTGAGATTATACTTTGTTTCAGTCTCTTGGCTCATCTGGTCTTAAAGCTTTTTCCACTAAAAGCAGGGTGGCTGATATGGTTTGGCTGTGTTCCCACCCAAATCTCATCTTGAATTGCATTTTCCCACAATTCCCACATGCAATGGGAGGGACCTGATCGAGGTAATTGAATCATGGGGGTGGGTCTCTCCTGTGCTGTTCCCATGGTAGTGAATAAGTGCCATGAGATTTGATGGTTTTATAACAAGTAGTTTCCCTGCACAAGCTCTCTCTTGCCCTGCCACCATGTAAGTTGTGCCTTTCAGCTTCTGCCATGATTGTGAGGCCTCCTCAGCCATGTGGAATTGCGACTCCATGAATCCTTTTTCTTTATAAATTACCCAGTCTTGAGTATGTCTTTAATAGCAGCACAAGAACAGACTAATACAGTGGCCTTCCTGCAAAGCTGGTTTGGTTAATCCTGGATGACCTTAGGGAGGACTAGAAAGTATGCTGCAAGCCCATCATAACTTTGGGGCACTCTGCTTTGAGACCTAATTGCCACCAACTTGCTGTGTGACCCTAAGCAAATCTCTTGCCCATTGTGAGCTTCATTTTCCTCATCTGTTCAATGAAGAGGCAGAATGAGAAGGTCCAAGCTCTAACGTTCAGGGATTTTAAACACTGTGAAAACACCACGCATTTCTTTTAATCTCTTGTAAAATTTTACAAGAAAAAAAAAAAAAGAGCATTCTGGACTTTATTTTCCTCCATCTCCATCCACCCGCATCCCCAAGAAACTGTGTAAAATGTGAATTGTGAATTCACTGAAAAATCTCTTAGCCACATCAAGGAGAAAGTCCCTCTTGTGCAGTCATTTCTGCGACTGTCCGCAGCCTGAATATCCGGGCAGCGCACACCCTCAGTCCCAGGGGATCATCCCACCTCCCTGAGTGGCCCTGCCCAGCTACTCACCTGAGCGGTTAAGCAGCTCCCCACCATGCCGGCTCACACCTCCTACCCCACTGGAGCCGCCCGATGAATGAGGCGAGTGGTTGAAGTTTCCAGAATTGGCAGGAGAGGCTGGGCTTCTGGAGAGGCTTGGAAATTTAACAGGCCTGACGGGTGTCTGCAAGAATAAGGCACGTACAGCACTTAGGGAGGCTGCTCCTCCCTCCAGCCGTGCAGATCAGTGTGAGGGTTCCTGCGCTCAGGAGGTGCACACCCCACCAAAGCTTGCTGTGCCCAGCACGGCCCTGCCAGGGCCCAGCTGGGGAGTCCCTGAGGGATAGAGCTTGCTTCTATGTGCTGACAACTCACCCATCAGCTCAGTGAACCCATGTGACGTCATTTCCCATGAGCCACCTTGCTTTCAGTCTCATTCAACTCCAGGGCCTTCCAAGAAAAAACCTGACCATGTTATTCACTGACAACCCATGGAAGCCTCAGCACATCCAGGACAAAATCTAGCCCCCTCAGCACCACCTGGCACAGTAACCAGCTCCCCAACTCCAAGCCTGCTTCCGTGATGCTGTCCCTATTGGTCCCTCAGCCTGGAATGGGTCTTCTCCTCCCCACATCCTTCATGGTGCCTTTCCTAGCCCCACTGTCTCTGGTGCCAGGGCTCCTGGTCACGTCCTCTCCACCCCGACCTCACTCCACCCCCTGCTTCACTTGCTCTGCTCCAGGCACAACAACCTCCTTTGGGTTTCCTGCTGATCCTTTCTGTGCCTTGGGGCCTTTGCCCAGGCAGCCTGTTCTACATGGACCTGGCGGCTCCTCCCCATCCTTACCCCACTCCTCCCACAGCGGCTCCTCCCTGTCCTTGGGTCTCAGGTCTCAGAGGCCTTCACTGCCTAAGCGGTGTAATGTGGGCTCTGGTCTAAGATGGGCTCCCGTGTAGGGCTGGCTCCCCGACACATGGCTGTGCTCCCTGCCAGCACCCTCTTCGCTTACACTGTGACTCTTACCACGGCTTGTGAGTGTACATTTACTGCGGCTGCCTGTATGTCTGATGCCCCAGTGGACTGTCAGCTCCATGGGGACTTGGTTCTCTGCTGTATGCCTGGTACCCAGCTCTGGCCTCGGCACAAAGAAGGCACTCAGTAGATATGATTAAAGTTGGAGTGGGCTGAATCGCCGCCCCCAAAAAGATACACAGTGTCCTAATTCCCAGAACCTTTGACTGTTACCTTATGAGGCACAAGACTGAGGAGAGCTTATACGTGCTTACCTAAGATGTGCTCAAGTCAAGAATTTTGAGACGAGGAGCTTATCCTGGAATTTCCAGGTGGGCTCTAAATGCAATCACATGTATCTTCATAAGAGAAAAGGCAGAGGGAATTCTGACAAACGAGCAAGCAATGTGACCATGGAGGCTGAGACTGGAGTGACGCAGCCACAAGCCAAGTGAAGCCTAGAGTCAAGAGAAGCTGTCAGAGGAGAGAACGGATCTCCCTGGAGCCTCCGGAGGGAGCGGGGCCCTGCTGACACCTTGATTTCGGGGTTTCTGCCTCCAGGACCGTGAGAGAATACATTTCTGTTGTTTTAAGCCATGCAGTTTGAGGTGACTTGTTACAGCAGCCATAGGACACCAAAACAAAGGTCCTCTTGTAGGTCCTCTACTGTGGGCACTCCTAAGGGAGAGACAGTGACAGATCCCAGGGCCCTGGCCCCACACTGTGGGCACTCCTAAGGGAGGGACAGTGACAAGATCCCCAGGGCCCAGAATGAGGCCCATCTGCTGAGTAAGCAAAACAGAACACACTTACAAAGGCTATAGCTCATGTTCTCTCTCCCTCTACCTGGGACGCTGCTGCCTGCACTCCACTGGGGAGAAAACTCTTCCACAGCTTGCAAATCCCAGCTCAGCTGTTGCCTCTGCCTGGAGGCCTCCTGAGTGTCCTACCACACACAGTCACCTCTCTGGTGCTCGCACACTCCTAACACTGCTCCCCGCCTCATGTTCTGTGTCTGTGTCTTTGCCACCTACACCACCGCCTCTTCTAGGGCAGAATGGGGCTGACAGGGCTACATGGCAGTGGGATTCAGTGAATGTTCACTGAGCAAATGAAGCAAGTCAAGTTAATGTTCTGTCCCTCTAAGGTTAAATTATCAAGGAAACACAGCCATAGAAGAGGTCTCAGGGATGGGTTCTACAACTCCCCCATGTTCCTACCTGATCGAGAATAGGGGACTAAACGCAAACCTGTCCTGCCTGTTTTAAGAGCATCTCCAGGCGCCAGGCTCTTGGTCTCCTGCTGGTGACCTGATACTACCATAGCCCTAGAAGGCAGCAGTGAGTGCTGGGGTCAGCCCCATCTTATAGAGACAGAGGCCATAAGTTTCTCGAATCACCCAGCACACGGCGACAGGGTCAGTCCTGAATCCCTTCGTCTTGCCCGTTTGCTGCCTCTACCATCTAGATACAGGCTATACACAGAGATACCTTCCACATTGACAGGGCTGTCAATTTCAGAAACAGACCAACAGCCACCAAGTTAGAAACCACTACAGTCAAAAGGATAGAAGTCACACTCTTGGGCACAAGAAAACACCAGTAGCACACACAGTTGCCACTGAGTGTTTGCTCTTGATCGTGGTTCACCTGCACTTGGCTGGTGATCTTCAGCTATTACTCCCACTCCCTGGGTCCCAGTTTCCTCATCTACTAAAAGGAAGGTTGGATTAGATACATCAGGTCTTTAAACTGTGCTCCTTGGAGTTCTAGGGCTCCAGTAAGGGGACAGATGTTCCCCGCTACCTCAACATTTTAATCTATTTTCCATATTGAGTTGCTCTATAGGGCTTCATTAGACAAAAGGATATCATCCACTCAAAAAAAAAAAAAATGTTGCCATCCTTCTGGATTTGTCGGTTTGAGGTCCCTCTGCCTGGAACACACCATGATTTCAGCGAGCAGTGAGTGATGTGTAAAAGTGTGTCAGAAGACAACTTACGGTGTCTGTGCCCCCGCCACCCACAGGGTGGCCCCTGCTGGCTCTCTGGGGCAGCACGGTCTTCATGGGGTCTACCTTCCCGTTGTGACGCGTCCGGGACCGATCAGAGCTCCACAGCTCAAAACTGGAAGGAGGTAGGAATGGGGGTATGACTGCTTTCAGCTTGTCACTCGGCAGTCTGGTGAGGGGAGCTCCGTTTCGAAGCTGAAAAAGACAGGCTGAGGGTTAGATAAGACCCCAGGAGGGCTCCCAACTCTGTGGGAAAGACTCCATGTTTTTCCTGCTTCTTGGGGCATGGCACCACCATCCGCCCCTCCACCTAAGCCGGGAGCTATGTGACATCTGCAGCTCTCCTCCCAGTAACCGCGCAACACCCATGTCTGCTCTGCGCCAACGCCAGGCTTCTCCTGGATCTCTCCCCACAGCAGCAAGATCAGAATGGGGCAGAGGAGACAGAGCACCAAGGAGAAGCAGATGATGTTGGTGTGCTATGGGGGACGCAGGGGAACCGGGAGAACACAGAGGAAGGGCGCCACTGCTGTGCAGTGAGGGCGCCTTTGTGGGGACTGAGTTGAGCTTGAATGACAGTTTAAGCTGGGCCAGAGAGGACCAGAAGGGGCATTCCAGACCGAGTGAGGGGCCAGAATATGGAAAGGCCTGGAGCCTAGAGGAGCAGGACATGGGTGCAGTGCTGTGAGGAGACCAGCCTAAGCAGCCATTGGGGCTGAAGGAGGAAAGGGGAGGGGATAAGGGCTAGGGCCCAGCACCAACCACTTTCTTCCCCAGCCCCCCACAAACCAGCTTGCTCCAGCCACACCTCCTGCTACTGACATTTAATTGTAATTTAATTTTAAATTTTGAAAATGTGATTTGGGGGTCAGTATAAAATCTACACAGTAATGACTGTTAGATCATCAAGGAAAGTGTTCACAGACCATGCTCACCTTAATTAAGAAAAAACAGTGAACTTTTTGCCAGATGGTGCTTTGCAGCAACGGGCATCCCACAGCTAAACCTGCCTCAGGAGCCGAGCAAGGCGGGCATCTCCACACCGACGGCTGCACATGCCCATCAGCAGAGCAGCCGGGCCACCCCACCCATTATGGGTGGGTAGGCACACTGGCGCCCTCTACAGGGCATGAGGGGTCGGGGAAGGAGTACACCTCCCGGGTTCCCAGGCTGGCTCTGTCTTGCTTTTCTGACAGTCTGTACACAAGTGCTGTTGCCTCTTTCCCTCTAGACCACAACAAGCTCATCTAGCAAACAGGGTTGAGTTGGACACTCACAGCGACAAACCCACCACCACAAAAGGGTCTTTTCCCTCCCTGGGGTAACAGTCTAAATTGTTGCTATCTTTCTGGAAGCCAATGACATTCACAACCTTTGACCCAGGAATTCCATTTCTAGGTATTCATCCCGAGCAAGTATCAGGCAAGTGGGGGAAATGAAGGTATAGGGACATTCTTCCTAGCTGTTAAAATAACAAAAAACTAGAAATCCCAGAGTCTGACAGTTCGGTCTTAGATAAAGAGACACGTTCCTACCCTGGAACGTTCTAATGTAGCCATTAAATATGATGTGGCTACATGGTGTTTGATGACATGGAAAAGATGGTCACAACATACAAATCACAAATAAATTGGATTCAACACAATATGGGAAAGATATTAACAGTGCCAACCTCACGAATATTAAATGAGCTAATACATGCAAAGTGCGGTGAACAGTAGCTGGTACTTAGTAAGAGCTATAGTATTTGCTATTATTACATATAATATCACATTTATACTGCTAAAAAACTGCTTACAAAAAATACTCAAAAGACATATACCATAAAAATGCCAACCACGGGTATAGCTGGGTATGTGAGCAGGGGTGAATTTATTTTCCTTCTTTATGTTTTACTGCTTCTTCCAAAATTTCTAAAATAGTATTTCTGTCTTCACACCAAAAATAATTATTGCTATTTAATAACATGATCAAATGTAAGGCAGCACAAGCTCCCACAGTCAGTGTTAGAACCATCAATTTACACCTGTTGGGGTGGCAGGGAGCCGCGGGCAGATTGGGTCAAGACTCCTCACTGGGCTCTGCAGTTCCTGACGCTGCTGATGCCTTTCTGGGAGCTCCCACTGCTCCCTTGTCCTCTGCAACACTGCCCTCTGCTGGCTAACATTAGGGTCTTAACACTAAAGGGACTCAATTCCAACTTTAACCATTAAGCTCTCTTGTCAGAGGAAAGGAATGTGAAACTCAGAGAGGGGAGGTAACACATCCAAGTTCACACCACAGAGCTTATTCTGGGCCAGACACTAGGCTAAGAACTTCCTGGGAGTGATCTTGTTTAAAAACCATAACTATGAGGAATCCCCAAAGTCAGAGACTGCAAACTGTCCCCCAGTATCTATTTTTCACATCTTAGAAATGACACACCTGATGTTTATTTAGATGGGCACAGGACCACTTGGAACAAAGACTTCATTTCCCAGCTTCCCCGCTGTGATTTAAGCAAAGTCATTTCCAAGAAACCTTTTTTTTTTTTCTTTTTTTTTTTTTAAAGACAGAATCTTAGGCTTTGTCACCCAGGCTGGAGTGCAATGGCACGAGCTTGGCTTATTGCAACCTCTGCTTCCCGGGTTCAACCAATTCTCCTAGCTCAGCCTCCCGAGTATCTGGTATTGCAGGCACCCGCCACCACGCCCAGCTATGTTGGGCGGCTGTTGGCCAGGCTGGTCTCAAACTCCTGACCTCAGGTGATCCACCCGCCTCTGCCTCCCAAAGTGCTGGGATTACAGGCATGAGCCACTGCTCGTAGCCCCAAGAAACTTCTTTAAAGACAGCTGGCATGTGCCCATGGCTACCTGTTTTCCCCTCCTCTCTCCTGCTGGCTGGAATGAGGCCGTGATGGCCAGAGCTCTGGCAGCCATCTTGAACCAAGAGGTGAAATAGAAACCACACATGGGGGACCAACAGGCAAAAAGGACTCAAGTCCCTAACTCCAAGGAGTCATATACTAGTTCTGAACTTTGTTTACTTGAATGAAGTAGGCTGCTATCTTATTTACACCACTGTTATTTGGGGACTTTCTGTTACTCACAGTTGACCCTAATCCTAATACACCTCTAATTTACAGATGAGGAAACTGAGGCCTCCCCAGCTGGAAACATACCCTCCCCTTTGATTCCTCTCTCCCCGGTTCTCCACAGCCCAAATGGTGAGTCTTCATTTCTCATGCTACCCATCAATTCCTACCCTCAATCCCCTGCCTCCCTGAGAACAGGGCCAGGGCTGACACCCAGCGGCTAAGCACCAGCACAGCCCTCTCCAGTTTAGAGCTGGCATCTGTTCTGACTCCTCAGTGCCAGAGCTAAGCCTATTGTTACACATTCTGATCACCAACCCTATCTGTGACCACCACAAAGACAGACAAACGCCCATATCCCTCCTTGTAAATCAATCAACTGATGATTGCCAGAGACCTAAAATGCTTTTAGAAAAGCCCCACGCTCACCATGGTTGTCAATAATGTGTCTTCCTTTTCTCCTCTTGTGCTCCCAGGACCTGAGAGACAAATGGAAATTTCCTGAAATGACCCTTCCACGTGTCCACAGCATGAGGATGAGTGACTGGGGCTGGCTTCATCCTGGAAAACCAACTCTCCTGGGTGCTTAAATATTTAATAATAATTGGTATTCGATATTTTAATAGAAGGCAGGCATTTAAAAGGTATATTGGAGCATGTTTTCAGCTTTTCCATAAACCACTGCCATGCTGGGTCAGACAGTGGTGCCCCCAGCTCAATAGTCTGTCTCAGACAGTGGTGCCAGACGAGCTAATCCAGTTATGGGGAATCTGACTGTTGGAAGGGATCTTATCTATGTTCCAGTCAGTATGGGAATCTCCTTCAGCAAACTGACAAAGTTATCCAAGCTGTTGAATACCTACAGTGATGGGGAGCTCACTACTCACACCCTCCCAGTAACTCATTTTATTTCAAGATGCTTTCAGTGTCATAGACCAATCACATTTCATAGTGGGGAAAACCACCTACCAAAGGCAAGAGAGAGGATGATTCCCTGTCGTCCCTCAGCAGGGAGTGTGGGACAGGAACCTGGGCCTCTTGCCACTGGCCAGCACCTTCTCATTCTATCACACTCCTGGTGGTTGTGTCCCTGCCTAAGTCTCTTTTCTACCAGACCAGCCTCTGTGCTCCAGTGTCACATTCCAACATCACCTCACCCCTGACAGCAGCCCAGGAGGTACGATGAAGGGCAGAGGGTGCAGGCTCAGACCATTCCAAAAATTCTACTGCATGGGCAGGCTTTTCTCACCATTGTCTTTGGTCACAGGGGCTGCATCAGGCAGTGCAGAGCGGCTTGTCCTGTCCTGGGGGGCAGCCCTCATTGTGGAATCCAGAGCTGGCTCAGCCTCGTCAGAGAAAGGCAAAGGCTGGTTGCTGGACAGCCCGCGGGGCAACGTCTGCATCAGTTTGAGCTTTCGGAACCGATTGGACATTCGGTTCCACCAGGACTGCCAAAGGAACGCAGAGCAGAAGTCATGCTCCAGGAAGGGCAAGGAGAGCAGGCCCAGGACCCACCCAGCCCAGAGACAGTGACTACATTCACAGGTGCCTGCCCTCCCCTCTCCTGGGGCCTGGACAGACATTACTGATCAACAATAGCACCCATTCCCAATAAGCCATGGTTACTCACTAAATCTTTCTTGATCCATACCTTAGGCAGTCATTTCCAATAGCCTGGAGGTGGCAGTGAACCCTATTTGCCATCCCTCATCTAATCAATCTCCTCATTGCACATGAGAAATGGAGACCCAGACAGGACTGCTGACTTACTTGAGGTCTTACAGTGAAACAGGGACAGATGGACACAGAGACAGCTCCAGATTCCTAAGCGTCTATCATTGCATAATCTCCCTCCTCCTGCTCTGGTGATAACATGAGACACATCAGGATCTCTGTATCAGGGCCTGGGCCAGCTGCTCCTACAGCTGATCCTCACCTATAGAGGACAGGCACTACCTCCCGGGAACACTTGTAACCCATGACCACTCAGAGGTTAATGAACAGCCACGAACGGCGTCTGTGAGGGCCTAGCCTATGGAAATGGCAGTAAAAGCAGGAACGAAGGGAGCTATGAGAACACCAGTCAGGAAGGATGCAGAGCTTGAGCCAGCGCCGAGTCTGCAGCCCTCAGAAGGCGCTGCCACTCCATGCAGAGTGGGGAGGAGGGCAGACAAAACCAGTGTGTTGTTTTATTTTCCCAGGCATAAAGTAAGTTTGATTTCAAACAAGTAGAGCAGGACTTGGAAGATGAGAAATCCAAAGAGGAAGTCTCAGCTTACAGTTACAAGCAGCCACTCGAGCTTGTTTCTGGTGTTTCCAGGAAGCTGGCAGGGCCTGTGGACTGCAGGGAGACCCCAGAGTGGCACGATCAGCAAGTATCCTGCACAGTAATGCAGAGGCTGCAAATGGATTCCTTGGGAAGAGAAGTGTTGGCTTTGGCCAGCTCAGTACTAAATCATGCAGAATTTTCTAAAGTTCCCTATACTTATAAATTAAGATTCCATATCAAAATCTGGACTTCTATTTTTTCCTTAAAAAAAAAAAAAAAAGAGATCTAGTAATATGGACCCACAGTACTTTTTGAGACAAGTTCTTGCTCTGTCGCACAGGCTGGAGTGCAGTGACATGATCTCGGCTCACTGCAACCACCGCCTCCCAGGCTCAAGCATTTCTCCTGTCTGAGCCTCTGGAGTAGCTGGGATTACAGGCGTGGACCCACATTCTTACAAAGCAGCCACTGTTGCCACAACATGGTCACAGTCACCCCAGTTTTTCCTGGTCCCCCTCATTTCCTATTGCTCAATGCCAGCTCACCTGCCACCCCTGCTGGGCCTCCCCGGCAAAAACCAGCCTGGGTGCATAGGAGGCAGCAGGTTCCCCGCCAGCCCCCATCTCCCTGGCCCCCTAAGCCCCTTTAAGACAGGAAAAGACAAACCTTCAGCCCACCCTTGTCATCGGGCAGCACTGGGATGCTCCAGGGCTGTCGGACCTTCGAGTGGGGCAGGGGCAGCTGGTGGCTTGGACGGCCTTTGTCTTTATTCACCTGCATGCACACAGATGCCAGCAGTCGAACAAGTTCCGTGTCTATGGACACAAAAGGCAGCATTTTACCTGCAAATATGTCTGTTGGGCCATGAGGAGAAGACTCAAGATGACCCCTATCAGACTTAGAACTCAGCCCTGCAGCTCCAGGGCCTGTGTAATTCCAGAATCAAGGCACCTGCCTCTCCATCTGATCTTCAAAAGGTGGCAAACAAAGCCAGCAGGGCTTAACCTACTTAACCAGAAAGAAAAACCGGAAGTCCTCTCTCATGAGGAACGCAGGGCGGACAGTGTATTTAAAAGCGCAGGCTTCACAGCCAGGTTGCAGAGGTTCAGATTCTGCCTCTGTCCCTCCCTGGCTATGTGACTGCAAGTAAATTACAAAGCCTCTCTGTGCCTCTGTACAAGTTAGCGACATTAATACCCACCACACAAAGGTATCGACGATTCATGGGAATTCCTTTAGAGCAATACAAGTGCCTTAAAAATATTAAGTATTATGAAGTTATTAAGATTGAGAAGAAACTACTCCAAACTGTTAACAATGCTTTTTCTTGATGACTATTTCTTTTTTTTTTTTTTTTTTTTTTGAGATAAGAGTCTTGCTCTGTCACCCAGGCTGGAGTGCAGTGGCACAATCTTGGCTCACTGCAACCTCCACCTCCTAGGTTCAAGCAATTCTTTGCCTCAGCCTCCCATGTAGCTGGGGCTACAGGGCCCGCCACCATGCCTGGCTACTTTTTGTACTTTTAGTAGAGATGGGGTTTCGCCATGTTGGCCAGGCTGGTCTCGAACTCCTGACCTCAAGTGATCCACCCAACTCAGCCTCCCAAAGTGCTGGGATTATGGGCGCGAGCCATCCACGTAGGGCTATTTCTTTTTTCTCTCCAAGTACTCAATAATAGGCATGAGTTTTTTCAAAAGTTTTGTGTAAACACCTTATTTAAAAACCCACTAGGAAAAATATTCCTAGGAATAGATTGTTTTATTTGGGAAAGGGAATAAATGGCATTGGAGGCTAGGAAGAAGAGGAACACTGAAAAGACAAGTTTGTCAGAAAAAGTGTGTATGAGATCCAGCGAGAGTGGCTGGGGACTGATTCCAAATAACCAAGTCTTGGCACGTGAAGAAGGTCTCCAATTAGGTGGAGTAGGATCACTAGACTTGGGACACAGGACTCCTACTCTCTGGCTGGGACAGATCACTTCCCGAGTCTTGGCGACCTCATCTCTTCAAGAGGATGTGAACCTCTGCTTCCCCTCTCAGACCTCTTCGAGGGTCAAACAGAACCAAGTGTGCATCTGTGAAGTGCAGGGGCCTGCAGCAGGGAAGGGGTGGCAAGGGTGGTGGTGCTGTGATGAGGAAGGGCACACCTGCTGGCTTCCTCTCTAGTTAAGAGGGCCAGCAGATGATTTGTGACTACAGACGTCAAAGTCTTCTCTCCCCACAGCCAACAGCTAGAATCCCAGCACAGGGTTCAAGCCTAGTGGGTCAGAAGGGCCTCGGAGCTTCTCTCTCTGGGTTCAAACTCCAGGGTAATAAGATGACAAATCAAGACCTTTCCCCTTGAGCTGGCTAACTGGAAGCCCAGGTCCCAAAAGAGGGCCTGTCACAGCAGGGGAGGGTCAAAGGGGAGTAGCAGGTACCAGCTGAGGACCAAGAGGGGTGGAACTAATGGCAACATTCCCAGCACAGGACCCTTGACCCTGCAGCCTCTACCTACACCATTAAGCTGAGGGGGCCATCGCTCTATCTCCCATTCTGCTTATCAAAGGGGCCTTTGTTTCCACCTGAGTGACTCAGGAATTCTGGCTGTGAAGCACAGATGCCATTCTAGGGTGTGTGTGGACTGCGAAGTCAGACATGTCTTATTTTCCTTCCCTCTCTGGAGACTCCTAGGAGGCTGGTGCTGGAAGAAGCCCCCAGGGCCACCTGGTCCAAGTCCAGTGCTCCACTGGGGAGGGAAGGGACTTGCCTAAGGATCATGTGGTAAGCTCCTGACACTTGAGAACGACTTTCCCCCATGAATAAGCAAGTGCATAAAACACAAGTCACAGAGGAGGTGGTTGTCTTGACTCCCAGCCTGAGAAACGCTGGGTAGATTTACAACCCTTTTCTTGAAATTACCCACCGGGATCATTCAGCAGCATCACCAGGTCAAAGGCTGTGTATCCATTTTTTGCACGAAGAGTGACATCAGCCCCTTGGTTTAGTAGATATTTGACAATTTCCTTATTCCTGGGAAGAAAATGCTAGAGTTACATTCACTAAAAGCAAAAGCATGGCTTTGCTCCTGGGCAACAAAACCAACAACATTAACTACAAGGCTCAGTCTCTGAGCATTTAAGAAGGGCATTGAAGGGCAAACAGTCTCATTCTCTCATTCCCTAGCATGTGGGCAGGTCAAGCGGGAACATGATTTAAATCAAAGTCTAAGTGTTCCTTCCAGGAACAAAATGAAAACCGAGGCCAGATGTGGTGGCTCACACTTGTAATCCCAACACTTTGGGAAGCAAAGGCGGGAGGATCACTTGAGCCCAGGAGTTTGAGACTAGCCTGGGCAACACGGGGGCCTTGTCTCTACCAAAAATTTTGTTTAAAAATCAGCTGGGTGTGGTGGTGCAAGCCTGTAGTCCTCAGTCTTGAGAGACTGAGACAGGAGGATTGCTTGAGTCTGGGAGGTCAAGGCTGTAGTGAGCCATGATCACGCTACTGCACTCCGGCCTGGCAACAAAGTGAGATACTGTCGGAAAGGGAAGGGAAGGGGAAGGGAAGGGGAAGAGAAAGGGGAAGGGGAAGGGGACTAAATTCTGCCCAAAAATCACTGATCCCATGGGAGACCCCACTTCTTCCACCATAAACCAGGACATCTCCATTGGGTAAGTCTCCTACAGACCTATTTATTTATCTGAAATAAAATTTCATCTTGGAATTCAATGCTCATCAAAGAAGAAAACAAACTGCTTTCAGATGATGCAGGAAACTGATCTGATCACCTAAAAGAGGGCAAGGAAAGAACCTCTAATTGGGAGTCAGATAACTTAGCAGCTACAAGATGCCCACCCCAAAGAGGAGGCCTCCAGGAGGATGACAGCCCACCCTGCTGGGATGATCACATAAGAAGGGGTTCATAAGCACCCTGTAAACACTGAAGCTTATTCAAAAGGAGAGGGGTAGGACACATCTCACCATCAATCATCACAAGACGACAATGGTATGAATCACCAATGTTTACTTCATACAGGGGCTACTTAAGGAGGTCACTGTATCTCACTGTGAAAACTCCAATGAACCAGTCATTGTGTTCAACTGAAACCAACCTAGAGAACCTTATCTCTCTGCATAAAATGCTCCTGCTGCATGGTTTTTCATGGCCACTGGTGAAATTCTGTGATGGGAGAACAGGAAATCTGGACACAGAAGAGTGGAAATAAAATGAGCCTGTGCCGCCTGCATTTTTTTTTCTTTTTTTTTTTTTTTTTTTTTTTGCCTGCCTCAATGTCATCACAGTCCTGGGGTTTGTATGCAGCATCTCAGGACCAGAAGAGCCCATTGGAAACCCCCATCTCAGGCCAGAACATATGTCTGGCCTTGTTGCTGAGGGCGTGGAGCTGGCACTGACCCATGGTAGGTCGCCTGCATGAGGGCTGTCCAGCCATGCACGCTGTCCTGCTTGTCAACATCCGCGTGCCTCTCCACCAGTAGCTGCACCAGAGCCAGCTGCCCCGTAACAGCTGCTAGCATCAGGGGCGTCGCCCCATCCCCATTGACCAAGTTCACGTGGCTGGGGTCTTCATCAGCAATCTCTTTGACCAGCTGGAAGTTTCCTGCAAACACAAGCAAGAGTCTGGGTGATCTGTGGGCCTGGGACCATAGGCTGATTTATCCTGTGGTTCATGTAACAAACACTTGCTGGCCCTGCCTCTGCAGTGACCTGCTGGGCACCATAGGGGATACTAAGAAGGGGTCAGAAATAGCCCCGACTCTCAAATGCCTCAGTCTAGGCGGGACAGAGACAAGCACATGAACGGGTAGAAGTGTTACTAAAAGACAGAAGTATTGTTAGTGTCTTCAGAGAACAGATGAAGGAGACAGAAGAAGACAGAAGGAGAGTTCAGGTCTTGCTGTGGGGTGAGGATCGGGAAAGGCTTCCTGGAGGAAGGGGTCTATATCAAGAGAGAAAATTTTAGGCTAAATGCCTCTTTGTCACAAAGAGACTGGAGTGGGTATGCAGACAGGCATTTCAGAGGCAGGAAGAGCCGGGGCATATAGCTAGCCAGTGTTTGGCTGGAGTGGGGCTGGAGGCCCTCTGGAGTCTATGTGTAGAGCTCCATAATAAATACTGGCCTCCAGGATCTGAACTTCCAAACACCAAACACCAAAATGCCTGTTTCTTTCTCAAATACCCTGGGTGGCCCTGCAAAGGACTACAAATATTAGGTTGGGAGAATGTAGTCCTGTATTCTTAAATATCCAAAAAGATCTTCTAAAGCGCTTACCCATTTTCAATGCATGGAAAATATCAGGTCGCCTTTTCTCTTCATCTGGGTAAACAAAGATTTTAAAAGTTAACCACGGAAAGGTTTAATATAACAGAAAAGTCACAAGGGTGTAACAACACAGCCTGGCTTTAAAAAGCATCTAATTCTCAAAACCAATCTAATTGGAGACCTACGTAATGGACAAATCCAGCAGCTCTTCCGGAAGGTTTATTACCAAAGAACATCTGAAAACACTTCAGAGACAGATCTTGCCGACAAAACACGAAAGAACAGCAGATCACGGCCCTGATCTCATGCAAATAAAGCAATCATTTTTAGGCAAAACAAATGTTGGCATATCCTTTCTTAGATATACTGAAAAGTCTTGGGGTCTTGGAAAATCTTGGATTCCTATGGACATTGTTTAAAAAAATTTTTCTTCTAAAAACTAAACGTACAATCATAATTCCAAATCAGCTGCTGACATACCGAGCAGCTGAGCTCTACGGAAGTTCACAGACACAGCCAACAGAAGAACCAATGCTCATGTTTTCTTTCCCTCCCATGGAAGAAGCAATCAGAACATGCTCCCTGCCCCAAACCTACAGACATAGCTGCCCAAAGGCCACTGCCCAACTGGGCATCTTCATGCTGTACCCTGAAGCCCAGCTGCTAGGTTGGTGCCAGACCCCATGCCTACCTGCACAGCTGAGCCTTGCTGCAGCTGCCAGATGCTAGCCCCTCTCTCACATGTTCATCCCACACCTTCCTCCAAGCCTGGGCCAGCTGGTACCCTGCTCCTGTCAGAGCAGGCATCCTCATGGCCAGTTTGCTTGCTAGGGGGCTGAAGGCAGGCCTTCTGCAGTCTTTAACTGATCCCAGGGGACGGAGCAGCTGCCAGAGGGAACTTGTGAATCTGGGTTGACTCTGGTCCAGATAAGCCCTCTTGAGCAGCTGGGAGGAAGCTGCAGCCCGGGGCAAGGAGCACTGAGTGTGGAGTCAGTGCATAAGAATTTCAGTGCGCATTTTTAGAGTAAGCTGCCTTTTCATCACAAATGTGGGGATAACATCCCTTTCATCTGACTGTTGCAGGGATCAAATGATAATGTTAAAGCCCCATTCAAAGAACAATTATTTCTTTACTAGCAACCAGCAAGGTGAACCCCAGAATTCTTTTTATGAGATGGAATCTCACTCTGTTGCCCAGGCTGGAGTGCAGTGGTGTGATCTCGGCTCACTGCAACCTCTGCCTCCTGGGTTCAAGTGATTCTTGTGCCTCAGCCTCCTGAGTAGCTGGGATTACAGGCACATGCCACCACACCCGGCTAATGTTTGTAAGAGACAGTGTTTCACCATGTTGGCCAGGCTGGTCTGGAACTCCTGACCTCGAGTGATCTGCCCACCTTGGCCTCCCAAACTGCTGGGATTGCAGGCGTGAGCCACTGCTCCAGGCCAGAAACCCAGAATTCAATTTTTTTTTGAGACGGGGTCTTGCCCTGTCTCCCAGGCTAGAGGGCAGTGGCAAGATCTCAGCTCACTGTAATCTCCACCTCCCGGGTTCAAGCGATTCTCCTGCCTCAGCTTCCAGAGTAGCTGGGATTACAGGCACCTGCCAACACACCTGGCTAATTTTTGCATTTTTAGTAGAGACGGGGTTTCATCATCTAGGGCAGGTTGGTCTCGAACTCCTGACCTCATGATCCACCCATCTCCGCCTCCCAAAGTGCTGGGATTACAGGCGTGAGCCACCACACCCGGCCAGAATCCCAGAATTCTTAATGAGAAGTACAGACACTGCCACAGGACACAGTACATCAACTTTGCCTGTGAAATACTATCAAGAAACAATTTTGCACCTGACTTTTAAAAAATATGTCATGTTCCTTCAAGTATTCAAGAACCATCTTTGCTGTGGGGCGGGGGGGGGTGCGTCTTCTCATGCCAAGACCTTTTCACAGAAGACTGTCACCTGGTCTTAGTGTTTGCTGCTAAGCAATCATCTGACACAAGTTAATCACTGACAGCGCAGCCTGGCCCCAGGAGGCAGGGGCAGTTGTGTCCTGACACCCAGTGACTCTGGGCACGTCTCCTCCTCACTTGGGGCTTCAGTTTTTTCATCTATATCCAAGCAGTCCCAGGGACCCTGCCCCATCCCAAAGAAAAGAAATCTGCTCCAACCTCCACACCACAACCTCAGTGGGGAGTCAGGGGTGTCACAATGACAGCTACTGCATCAAAGGTACCCTGTCCTGCTGCTAATGAAAGGCAGAGACCGGGGACCTCCAAGGCCTTGGTGGGGGCTGGATTTCCAGGCACTGCACAGTAAGAGCTGGGGCTCCTATTATTTATTTCATAATCTGTCATTATCAATAGCACTGGCTGCACCCTACCTGGGGCTCTTCCCAGGGATCCCCCATGGCCAACACACTCCCTCAGGTCCTGCATGTCTGCTGCAGTCCCACCTTCTCAAGGTTGCCCAACCACTCCATTTGACACTGCATTGTCCCAGCTCTGCCACACCCAACCTCTTTACATTGCCCTCTTTTTTTTTTTTTAATTTTAACCTCATGGCACTTACCACCTACCCTACTATATATTTAATATGTATATTTTCTATTGACTGCCTGTCTCCCCTTATCGAGGCCAAGGTCCTCAAGGGCAGAGATTTGGATCTCGTTTGTTAACCGATGTATCCAAAGTGCCTAGAAAGGTGCCTGATACATAGCAGGCCTCCGTACATATTTGTGAAGTATCAGAATGAATGTATGATCAATCAAAACATAAGAGTTTCCATTTATTTGATGTTGTGTATGTGCCAGGGCACTGCGATAAAAATTTTACAGGCATGATCTTACTATTCCTCACAAAAATCTCCTAAGAAAAGTGTCTTTATTATGACTATTTTATGAAAAAAGACACTGAAGTCCTGCAGGGCTAATTAACATCACCAAGACCACCCAGGTACAGAGTGGGAGAACTGAGCCTCAGGCTGGGTCTGCTTGATGGGAACATGACCCGATCCTGCTGGAAGACCCGAGGTTCGCTCCCATCAAATACGCCGACAACACTATGGAGTAACACCAGTTCTCATGTGCTCCCTCTGGGCCAGGGAGGATCTCACGTGACCCCCACAGCAGTCCTGAGGCGGGTGTCACTCCTACCACCCATTTGTAGAGAAGGAAACGGGAGCTTGGTGAACTCAGGCAACCAGTTCAAGGTCCCTTGGCCAGCAGGGGCATAGCCAGGGTCGAACCAAGTAGACAGTGACCTTGGCCACATCCACCAATGTGTCTCAGCCTCTGCGTCTTGGTGAAATGAGGGCATCACCATCCCATGATGCCAGGACAATCCCTAAAGTGAGGCTTGTCAGAAGCTAAGCCCGAGGGCACTCCGTGAAGATTCAAGATGCAGAGGCTGAGGAAACCTGGGAAGGAAAACACACACACAGCAGAAGAGGCACAGCTCGGCACGCACGGGCAGGTGCAAGTTCTGGAGTGTCCACTTCTGAGCCTGAGTTCCCTCCCCTGCAAAATGCGGGAACACCCTCCTCAGAGGGTCCCTGCGAAGGTGAGGGGAGATTCAGCATGGCAGGTGTGCTGGGCACGACAGGGCCTGGGAAGGGCAGATCCCTTCCCCATCCCCGCCACAAACAACCCAAACCTTTAAAGGAGAGCAATGGCCTTGTGTCAAAAACAAAAACAAAACAAAACCCTGTGCTAGGAAACTGGGGCCCTAAGTTCTAATTGCAAGCCTTTATGAGTCCCTAACACTCTACTGTGCTGAGTATCTCACACACCAGAGGATAACCTGCCTTCTGCTCACCACCACCCCGTAGTAGTTGTCATTGTGTCCGTTTCACAGATGAGGCAAAGGCTCAGAAGAGTCACACGTTAAACCAGCTTCTAGAGCCCATGCAGAAGGTGCAGGTGGGAGAATCACCTCTAAGTGCTCTTCCCATGGAATCCTCACCTCCTGAGTGTCACTCACTCAGTTTCCAATGGGTGTGTGACCTTTGACCAGCTTTCTTCCCTCTCTGGGCCTCAGTTTCCCACCTGGACAAAGTAAGAGTTCTCTTGGCTTCAGATAGGTCTTCCTAAACTTCACTTCTTTTTGCTTCTCATTTGAGCGTCCTCTTCATTTTTGCCACCTCTCTGTCATTACAGGCTTTTAAAACATGTTTATTTCAGACTTGTTCTGATTGGATGGTATATTTCCTTTTTTTTTTTTTTTTTTTTTTTTTTTTTTTGGAGAGTATATTTCTAATAAGCATTTACCAAATTTTCAGCATCTCTTAATTGATGGGGCCACTGTATATTCTTTCAATGGTAACAAACTTAACACTTTCAGGTCTTTTTAGCCAATGTGCCTGAAGCTACTTTCTTCAGTTCTTGACCTCTCAGAGCTAGATGCTTATATACACTGCAGCCCACCTACTGTTACTCCCTGGCTGTCAGTCCTGCCATGGAAGTCAGGCCTTTTACATAGACAGACGGTACCAAGGCTGTGTGTCGCGATCTTATTGCAAACGGTGCATTAGAGGTTTTGAAACGTGGTATATCCTGTGGCAGATTTGCTAAGGATTGTTTAGACAACTCTTTACATGCCACAGAGATGACAAGAAGTTAAAAAAAAAAAAAAAAAAAGACACACTGCTAGATGTTTTTAAAAAAACTAATTTTCACTAATTTTACATGAATTAGGGTTTGAGAAATGATCAGGGCAGAGGAGGTCAGGCACACTATTGTACAGCAGGGGCTGGCAAACTATAGCCCATGGCTCAAATATGCCCCACTGCCTGTTTTTGTAATTGTAATTTATTGGAACCTAGCCACAACTGACTCATTTACATATTATATGCATAGCCACACCCATTCATTTACTCATTACATATGTAAGGCTGCTTTCACTCTAGCAGAAGTGACTACTGTAGTTTTAACAGAGACCGTATGGTCCATACAGTCTATTTGGCCTTTTACAGAAAAAGTTTGCCAAACCTTGTTCTAGAAGGACCCCAGAACCAACTGCATCAGAATGATGTGGTTGGGGAGAGCAGCCTTGTTATGGAGGCTTCCAGACTTTTGCCCAGGGCTACCAAATCAGACCCTGCAGAGAGTGGGCCCAGAACCTGCATGTCACAGGCAATCCCCCTGACACTTAAGCACACCACTTCCTCAGTCTCACTGGTCTGCAGGGCTCGACTCTGAGTTCTGTGTGTCCTTCCAGTAGAGCAATCCTCAGCTTAAGCCACATAAACACAATTTGGGGTCCTCTGTGAAGTCATGGAGGGGCATGCAGCCTGACCTGTTTTGGGCCTGACGGTGGTCATCGGGTCCAGGTAGTCTACAAGGTCCCTGTGCTTGCAGTCCAGTGCAACCTCGAAGGCGGTCTTCTCCAGCACGCTGAGGTGGTCAGGGTTGGCGCCCTTCTCCACCAGTTGCTGGGCCACTCCAAGCCGCCCAGTGAGTGCGGCCAGCATCAGTGGGCTCCAGCCCACAGTCCGGGCTGCGCGGTTGGGGTCCGCACCCCACTCCATCAGTAGACGCACCACGGCCTCGTGCCCGTGCTGGATGGCGGCCATCAGGGCCGTGATGTCCAGGGGCTCATCCCTGTTGCCGCCCAACCCCAGTTGCTCGCCCGAAGGGTGGTGATGGTCCACAAAGGCACCGGCTTCCAGGAGCAGCTTCACCACACCCAGGTGGCCGCCCCGAGAAGCCACAGTGAGCACACTGGCCCCTAGCCGGTTCTGGGCATTGACATCAGCCCCGTGATCCAACAGGAGGTGTGCCACACTCACATGCCCAAATCTGCCAGGAAGATGGAGAATTAGTGACACTAAACACACAGCACTCGGGAGACAGCTTTTGTCATCCTGAATTGTCATGAATTATTAGTCCTGACAGCTATTCATAATAAGAGTCTTATTCTGGTGCCAGGCACTGTGCCAGTCCCACAGATACGAATGCACCATCATGAAGGTGAGCAGCTGCCCTGCCCGGGTTCAAATCCAGCTCTCCCCACCACCAGCTGCATGACCTTTAGGAAGAACTTTGATTTCTTTGTGCCTTCATTTCCTGATCTGTAAAATGGGGATATAACTGTGCCTACTTCAAGGGTTGTTGCGGATTAAATGAGTTGTATGTAAAGCACCTGGCTCTGTGCCTGGCCACAGGAAGCATCACATCAATGTTAGCGACTGTTAGCTATTACAATTGTTCATGTTACATTACTCAACATGCCAAGGATTACCCAGCTGGTAAGGGGCGGCATCGGGGTCAGGACAGGTCTGTGTGAATCCCACTGCCCTTGCTTTTTCCCCTACACCCTGCTGACAGTCCATTTTATTCTGTTTTATAGCCTGGGAATCTGTCTCTCTGCCTGTGCTCTAATTTCCACACAGGCAGGGCCCATGTCTGATTCATTTCTACCCACCCCCTCATCCCCAAAAGCACACACCCCATGCCAAGAGGTGTGGCAAGGTTGTGGTCAGCAGATGGGCTAGGCATTGCGGCCTGGAGGCCTGCTGCCACCTGCTGGCAGGAATGTTTGCTGCAGGCGGCTAAGGATCCGGCCTAGGCCAGATGTTCCTCAATGAAGTCACTGCTGGGCCCCTGAAGAGACAAATCTGCACCCACCAACTTCCTAAAAAGAGGAGAAGGAAAACAGGTGCCTAGCAAAATCCTCTTCCCAGCAAAATCTCTTCCTTCTTTTAACACCAGAGGGCAGAAAAGTTATGTTTTTGGTGTCTCTGGTGGGCTCGGAGCTGTGTATCTCCAAGCTAGAAGCAGCCCCGGACTAACAAGAAAACAATGACGAGACGGGGGCTGTCTACTCCAGGTTTTCGAGACCACAAAGCCACTGTCATGTCTGCACCTGTGAGACAGCTTTCTGGGTTTCTCGATGCTCAGCCCTCTTTCCCGGGCGCCAGTTTTGCACCTCATCTAAACCCAGGACCTCCCTCCTCCTGGCAGCTGGCAGCTGGCAGCCAGGCCAGGGCTGAACTCTGTCCGAGGCTCCAGCTGAATACCTTCTGGGATGTGAACCTGAACAGCATGAGGCTCCTCAGCCTCGGAGTAAGAGCCTGGTGACACAGTTCCATCAGCTGCAGGGGGCTGGGCCTCCTGATCTCCACTCCCAGAGCAGAAAGGGACAAGGCAAACTGAAACCAACTCAATGCAGAAAGCTGCACCCCATTGTCTCCCCACCTCCAGTCTCGTTCCCTCCTGCCCATCCTCCATGTGACCCCCAAATGATATTCTCCAAACCCAAATCTGTCACTCCCCAGCTTCTGACTGCCGAAGACCTGACTGCTTTGCCAACCTCACTTCCTCCCGCTCCCACACCACACCTTCCTGCCTCCCCCACACCTTCACCATCAGAGGACTCTCCTATCCTTATCTACTCAGCACACCCCCCAACCGTGTCCTGCTTCAGGAGTCGGCTCAGATCTCACCCACTCCAAGCAGCTTCCAGACCACCCCTCACCAGGCTAGGTCAGTGCCCCTCTTCTAAGCACCTAATTCCAGGGGCTTGCCGCTGGCTGCACGTGAGCCCTCTTTCTCTAATTCTCTCTCTGCATCCACCAACTTCCTAATACGAGTGGCGGGCTCTCCAAGGACAGGACAGGGTTCTAGGCATGTTGTTTCCCCAGCCCCTACCATAGTGGCTGATCCACATCAGGGCTCAGTAAATTTTGTCAAACTAGCTGAGTAAATGAATGCATAAATGGCATAACCACATAGGGGAAGGTCCAGAGGTGAGCAGTGGAAATCACTGAAGAACTGGTGTATCCTCTACTGTAGCAGAGATTTCTAAAGGATTACACTATTTAGTTATCGAGCATGAGATAAGATCTAGCATAATCCCTAACAGCAGATTACAAAGTGCTGTCACATTTTTATCTCATTTGATCTTAATAAACCCCGAGATAAACTCACAGATTAGGAAACTGAAGATTACAGTGGAAAGCAATTAATCTAAAGCCTCTCAATTTGAACGTGATAAAGTCAAAAGTTGAACCTGGACTCAAAATCGAAGCTCCAGTATAAACAATTTTTAAGGAGCAAAAAAGGGCTGAATTAGAGCAGAAATAGTGAAATTTGGAATGTTTTCTGAATTAGTGAGTAGCCCAAGAGAGCACTCAACTATGCGGAAAATAAAAAAGGATTCAAGCAAGGCTGAGATAATGTTGTGGAGGCTAAGTTTCTAATAGGTAACTGCTGGAGATGGGCATGCCAGGGGCTTTCTGAACAGGTGCTGTGATTACCGATGAATTTCAGCAATTAACACCTGTGTTTAAAGAGCTGGCACACATTTTCCCCTCTCAAAGCACCGGGCTGAGAGTCCAGCTCTGCCCCACTGGCAGGCAGGAAACGAAGGGTAGGGAAGGAAGGTAAACACTATGCAACCCTGTCCGTAGGAGAGAAGTCTTGGGCAAATTTGGCAAGCCGCTTCCTCGCCACCAACATCAAGAGGGAAACTATCAGTTACAGGATTCGTGGCTGGGAGCACAGGCTCTGGAGTCACCTCCCTAGGTGTGCATCTGTCTGGCGACTTGGTAGCTATGTGACTTAGGCAAGTTACTTAACTTCTCTGTTCCTCAATTCCTCATCTATGAAATGAGGATGACAATAATACCTCCTTCCTAAGGTTTTGTATAGATCAAATGAGTTAATTCATTTAAAGCACTTAGCACAGTGCTTGACTGAAAGTAGGTGCTCAATAAAGGTTACTTTTTTTTTTTTGAGATAGAGTCTTGCTGTTGCCAGGCTGGAGTGTAGTGGCAGGATCTCAGCTCACTGCAACCTCCGCCTCCTGGGTTCAAGCGATTCTCCTGCCTCAGCCTCCTGAGTAGCTGGGACTACAGGCGCGTGCCACCATGCCCACGCCACCACGCCCAGTTAACATTTGCATTTTTAGTAGAGACAGGGTTTCACTATGTTGGCCAGGCTGGTCTCGATCTCCTGACCTCGTGATCTGCCCGCCTCAGCCTCCCAAAGTGCTGGGATTACAGGCGTGAGACACCGCACCCAGCCAAAGGTTACCTGTTATTTTAAGAACAGGAAAAAACATGGCAGATCGCGGTGGCTCACACCTGTAATTGCAGCACTTTGGGAGGCTGAGGCAGGTGGATCACAAAATCAAGAGATCGAGACCAGCCTGGCCAACATAGTGAAACCCTGTCTCTACTAAAAATACAAAAATTAGCTGCGCAGGGTGGCACGGGCGTGGTGGCACGTGCCTGTAATTCCAGCTACTTGGGAGGCTGAGGCAGGAGAATCGCTTGAACCCGGGAGGCGGAGGTTGCAGTGAGTCGAGATCGCACCACTGCACTCCAGCCTGGTGACAGAGCGAGACTCCGTCTAAAAAAAAAAAAAAAAAAAAAGGAAAAAACACTAACGTCACCATTTCTAATACTAAAACATCTACAAGAGCCCAAAAGCACAAGGTGTCTGATAGTCTGGCTTCATGCACACAGAGAGCTGGGATGATAAATAGATGCTCACTTAGACCCAGTGTGGTGACTGCCAGGGGTGCGGTTTTGAGCAGGATTCTGGGGCATATCCAGATCCAAGGAAGAAGAGCGCAAGGCTGGAAGGTGTCAGCACATGGGTCATGCATTTGCCGACCCCGAACTGAGGGACAGACACACTATACATCCTTCTGGAAATCTTCCATGCATACTACTCCTCAACTTGAGCTTTTGGTATGAATTACGCAGCAGAAAGCTGGAGCACAACTCAACACAGGCAGAGATGCTACCTGAATATATAGTCGGTGTCACACCAACTGAGGAACAGCACATTTTAAAATACCCAGGCTCAGACTATCCTGCAGAACTTGGTTAAAACTGGTGATCAGGGGTCTCCGAGACACTCTGAGGCATGTTAGCGCTGCAGTCACAAACCTCACTCAGTAAATTCCTCAGCGCCCCCCTCCCCCCATTCCCTGGCATCTGCCTTCTCTCCAGGGGGTACTAGTACATCATTCTACTCATACATAATGCTACCAGTCCTACCAGCTCGTGCACCCAAGCCTTTGCATGGGCCTCCCATCATGCCCTTCCCACATCCCACTTGTTCTGTCCTGGCTAATTCTCAGGCATCCACGTGGAGGTTATCTCCACGTGGATGTAAACATCATTTCTACCAGAAACCTTCCCCAACGTCTCCAAAATGGGTCAACTGCCCCCAGAGCTACTCAAACCTTTCCGGTCAAGCTCGTTCCTTTGCCTGGCCTGTCCACCACTGCCCTGGGTGGTGACTCTGCCGGGTCTCGGAGCATCCTCAACGCCAAGCCAGGAAGGGAAACCAGGTTCTGAGGAAACCCTTACTGCAATGAGAAATGAATTAAATCAGGCTGGGCGCGGTGGCTCACGCCTGTAATCCCAGCACTTTGGGAAGCTGAGGCGGGAGGATCACAACGTCAGGAGATCAAGACTATCCTGGCTAACACGGTGAAACCCCGCCTCTACTAAAAAAAAAAAAATAGCCGGGCGTGGTGGCGGGCGCCTGTAGTCCCAGCTACTCGGGAGGCTGAGGCAGGAGAATGGCATGGACCAGGGAGGAGGACCTTGTAGAGAGTTGAGATCGCGTCACTGCACTCCAGTCTGGGCGACAGAGCCAGACTCCATCTCAAAAAAAAAAAAAAAAAAAAAGAAAGAAATGAATTAAATCTCTAAGGTTCTAAGTCTCTACGATTCTGTTCGCTGTCTCCAGATTCAACCCTGAAAGGCCAAAGTTTCTAAGAATCTGATTTTATGTTAACACGAAAGTATTTCCACTTCTATGCTCAAAGTTTACCAAAGACTACTCAAAGTTTACCATTCCAACTCTAAGGAGTCCTTAACTCTTTACCTCCCGGGACATCTGGCCGCCGGGGAGATCCGGCCGCCGGGGGCCGCGTCCCGGGCCCCCGAGCCCCGCCGCCTCACCTGGCCGCCTGCATGAGCGCGCTCCAGCCGTAGTGGTTGCGGCTGTTGACCGAGGCACCGCGGCGCAGCAGGAAGCGCACCAGCGGTTCGTGGCCCCCGGCCGCGGCGAACTGCAGTGCGGTGTTGCCCGCCTCGTCCGAGCAGTCCACGGGCACCAGAGCCCCGACTGCCGCCGCTGCGGCGGCCCCGGGCCCGGCCGCCTCGGCCCCCACCGGCTCCGCGCCCGCTTCCGGCTCCGCGCCGCGCTCGGCTGGCTCCGCCGCCCCCGGCTCCAGCAGCCGCCGCGCGGTCTCCGTGTCGCCCTGGTCACACGCGCGCAGCAGCAGCTGGAAGGCCGGGGGCAGCCCGCCCTCGCCCATCGCCGCCGCCACGCGCGGCCCGCGCCCGTCAGCCCTACCGGCCGCGTCGGCTCCGCCCCCGGATACCGCCCGCCGGCGCCCTCTTCCGGCCGCCCGCCCGCGCCGCGCGCCTACTGTGTGCCGGGAGCGCGCCGAGGCCGGGGCTGCGCGCCTACTGTGTGCCGGGAGCGCGCTGGAGCCAGGGCCGCGCGCCTACTGTGTGCCGGAAGCGCGCCAAGGCCAGGGCTGCGCACCTCCAGTGCCCGCACTCGGGAGTCCAGGGAAGCTCAGAGGAGCCCTCGCTGCAGGCCCGCATGTCCCCTTCTGCCTCTTCGGCGCCCGCTCGCCGCCCTGTCCCGGAGCTCCAGAGACTTCCTGCCAGGGCAGAGGTGGGAGTGGCGACCCCATCCCCTCTTCACGCTGCGGCCAGGGCCCTGGGCCCGGGTCTGAGTCCGCAGCTGCATGGGCCTTGACTTTACTAGCGGGCTCCGCTGACCCCACCCCAGCCTCTGGCACTGAACCTGCGCTTCCAGAATAAGGAAGAGGCTGAATTAAGGAACGAGTGGGTTTATTGTTTCCTCACAGTGTCCTGCAGTGCCCTTAATGCCCCTCCTTCATCTGGGCCGGGCTGCTGGGGCTACAAGCGTCTCCTGTACCTTTTCTCTCTCTTTTATTTCAACTTTTGTTATAGATTAAAGGGTACACGTGCAGGTTTGTTACATGGGTACATTGCGCGACGCTGAGGCTTGGGGTCCCAACGATCCCGTCACCCAGGCAGTAAGCATAATACCCACCATAGGTTCTTCAACCTAGAGTCCCCTCTATCCCTCCCTGGTTAGCGATCCCCAGCGTTTATTGTTCCCATCTTTGTGTCCATGTGTACTCAATGTTTAGCTCCCACTTACAAGTGAGAACATGCAGTATTTGGTTTTCTGTTCTTGTTAGGTCGCTTAGGATAATGGCCTCCAGCTCTATCCATGTTGCTGCAAAGGACATGATTTCGTTCATTTTTATGGCTTCATAGTATTCCGTAGTATTCTCTTATTCCATCGTGTATATGCACCACATTTCTTTCCTTCCTTCCCTCTCTTACCTCCCTCCCTCCCTACCTATCCCGCTTCCTCCCTATCACCCTTCCTCCCTCCCTCTCTTTCTCTCTCTCTCTGTCTTGCGGTGTCACCCAGGCTGGAGTGCAATCGTGCAATCTCTACTCACTGCAACCTCTGCCTCCAAGGCTCAAGCAATCCTCCCACCTCAGTCTCCCGAGTAGCTAGGACTACAGGCAAGTGCCACCACACCCAGCTAATTTTTTGTATTTTTGGTTGAGACAGGGTTTCACCATGTTGCCCGGCTGGTCTCAAACTCTTGAGCTCAAGTGATTCGCCCGCTGTGGCCTCCCAAAGTGCCAGGATTACAGGTGTGAGCCATTACATCTGACTCTGTACCACATGTTCTTTATCCAATCTACTGTTGATGGGCACTTACGTTGATTCCATATCCCTGCTACTATAAACGGCACTGCAGTGAACATACAGGTGTCTTTTTGATAGAAAGAATTATTTTCCTTTCGGTATATACCTGGTAGTAGGAGTGCTGGGTCAAATAGTAGTTCTATTTTAAGTTCTTTGAGAAATCTCCAAACTGCTTTTCACAGTGGCTGAACTAGTTTGCATTCCCACCAACAGTCTGTTTTCTTCACAGCCTTACCAGCACCTATTGTTTTTTGACTTTTTAATAATTGACATTCTGACTGGTGTAGATGATATCTCATTATGGTTTTGATTTGCATTTCTCTGATGATGAATGATGTTGACCATTTTTTCATATGTTTGTTGGCTGCTTGTACGTCTTCTTTTAAGAAGTGTCTGTTCATGTCCTTTGCAGAGACACAACGAAAAAAGAAAACTTCAGGCCAATATTCCTGATAAACATAGCTGCAAAAGTCCTCAATGAAATACTACAAACAGAATCCAGCAGCACATCAAAACGTCAATTCACCATGATCAAGTAGGCTTTATTTCTGGGATGCAAGGTTGGCGCAACATGCGCAAATCAATACATGTGATTCACCATATAAACAGAATCAAAAATGAAAACCATATAATCATCTCAATAGATGCAGAAAAGACCTTCAATAAAATCCAACATCCCTTTATAATAAAAACCCTCAAAACAGATTAAGTATTGAAGGAACATACCTCAAAATAATAACAGCCATCTATGACAAACCCATAGCCAACATCATATTAAATAGGTAAAAGCTGGAACCATTCCCCTTGAGAACTGAAAGAAGACTCTCACCACTCCTATTCAACATAGTACTGGACGTCCTAGCCAGACAACCAGGTAAGAGAAAAAAATAAAAGGCATTCAAATAGGAAAAGAAAAAGTCAAACTCTCTCTCTTTGCCAATAGTATTAATCTATACATAGAAAACCCTAAAGACTTTGCCAAAAGGCTCCTGGAAATGATAAACAAATTCAGGACAGAAAATCAATATATAAAAAGCAATAGCATTTCAATACACCAATAACATTCTAGCTGAGAACAAAATTAAGAATACAACCTCATTTACAATGATCACAAAGAAAATGAAATACCTTCTCTCTCTTTATCAGCGGTCCTTGAAGTGTGTCCCACACAGCAGCAGCACCAGCACCAGCTGCAACACTGTTACAAATGCAGATTTTTCTGGCCCTACCCCAGATCTACTGAATCAGAAATTCTGGGTGTGGGTTCAGCAACGTATATTTTAACAAGCCCTCTGGGTGATTCTGATGCACTCTAAAGTTGGAGACCCACATTTGATCTTCATTGCAGGCCTGCCAGCCACTGGGGAGGGCCCAGATGATCATCCCTAGGTTACAGAGGAGGCAACTGAGGCACAAAGAGGTTGTGTCTTGCCAAAGACTCCACTACTATTCTGCAGGAGAGCTGTGAGTAGGACTCTGGTCTTCCGTTCTCAACAAATATGTATTGAGTGCCTGCTATGTCCAGACACTGTTCAAGGTGCTGGAAAAGCTACAGGATTTACTACAAGGTTCTTCTGTAGCTCACAGATCCATGAGAGCCTGAGAACCAGTTCTGGAGGCCCCAAAGCCAGGAACAGTGACCCAAATCTCATGCCACACGTGCACCCTGCAGGAAGATGGGGTTGGTTCAGGCCCTTTTTGGTGTTACTGGCTTCAGATTCAGAGGCTGAGGTGGGAGTGCCTGATTGGCCCAACTTTGGTCATGTGCTCATATAATAGTGGGAAGTAGTTTCTGCCTCAGAAGGTAGGGGACTCCCAAATCTAGGAAGGGAGTTCAGATGCTGGGCAGTCAAAAAGGATAACAAATGTCTGCTATGAAATATTCTCTCCAGACACCCTTTTTCTTTTGGGAAGCCTTTCTCCCGTACTCACAGTCTATGTGCTTCAGTGGTTAGCACATATCCTGATTGACTTCAGCCCAGGACTTTTTTTTTTTTGAGATGGAGTCTCACTCTCTCTCCCAGGCTGGGGTTCAGCGGTACAATCCCCGCAAACTGCAACCTCTGTCTCCTGGGTTCACGTGGTTCTCTGCCTTGGCCTCCCGAGTAGCTGGGATTACAGGCACCTGCCACCATGCCCGGCTATTTTTTGTATTTTTAGTAGAGACGGGGTTTCACCATGTTGTCCAGGCTGGCCTCAAACTCCAGACCTCAAGTGATCTTCCTCCCTCAGCCTCCCAAAGTGCTGGGATTACAGGCATGAGCCACCGTGCCCAGCCCAGCCCAGGATTTTTGCTAAAGCAATTGAGAATGAGGTCCTCTCTGCTGAGGTTGCCAGCTATCAGGATGTCAGGATATTGTAAGCCAAACTGGTGCTCACTCTGCCACCACCTGAAGACAGGCTGCCTGAGTGAAGTCACCACAAAAGAAAGCAGAACCAAGTGATAGAAAGAGACTAAGTTAGAAAATCCCTCCCCACATTCTTTCTGGTGAGGTTTATTTTGAGGAGCATTGTAGTCATTTGCATTCCAAGCCTTAACAAATGGATAATTTACTATTTTTGTAAATGAATGGGTTCATACTACGCATGCTATTCTGAATCTTGCTTTTTTTTTTTCTTTTTTCTTTTTCCATTAACAAATGTCTTTCCATGTAGGTAAATACCTTTCCATGTAGGTAAATACAGACTGCTACATTTTTAAAAAATGGTTGCAGCCCAGCGCTGTGGCTCATGCCTGTAACAATCCTAGCACTTTGGGAGGCTGAGGCAGTCAGATTGCCTGAGCTCAGGCGTTCGAAACCAGCCTGGGCAACACAGTGAAACCCCGTCTCTACTAAAAATACAAAAAAAAAATAAGCCAGGCGTGGTGGCGTGTGCCTATAATCCCAGCTACTCGGGAGCCTAAGGCAGAAGAATTGCTTGAACCTGGGAGGTGGAGGTTGCAGTGAGCCGAGATCGCACCACTGCACTCTATCCTGAGCAACAGAGTGAGACTCCATCTCCAAAAAAAATTAATAATAAAAATAAAGAAATGATTGCACGAAACACCATTCGGCAGATATACTATAATTTATTTAATCATTTTTATTTATTTCTATTTTATTTTTTGAAATGGAGTCTCACTCTGTCATCCAGGTAGGGTGCAGTGGTGTGATCTTGGCTCACTGCAACCTTTGCCTCCTGAGTTCAAGCGATTCTCCTGCCTCAGTCTCGCTAGTAGCTGGGATCACAGACATCCGCCACCACGCCAAGCTAATTTTTGCATTTCTAGTAGAGACGGGGTTTCGCCATGTTGGCCAGGCTGGTCTTGAACTCCTGACCTCAAGTGACCCACCTGCCTCGGCCTCCCAAAGTGCTGGGATTACAGGTGTGAACCAGTGCGCCCAGCCCATTTAGTCATTTTAGAATAAGGCACAGTTGAGTCCAGGTGTGATGGTTCATGCCTGTAATCCCAGCACTTTGGGAGGTTAAGGTGGGTGAACTGCTTGAGGCCAGGAGTTCGAGACCAGCCTGGCCAACATGGCGAAATCCCATCTCTAATACAAAAAAAAAGAAAAAAAAACAACCAGATGTGGTGGCACATGCCTGTAATCCCAGCTACCTAGATGGCGAGG